TGCACTGGATGTCGAAGTTTTGTACTTTTATGAGAGAAAAGTTTTACTTTCTTGACAATGTCTCGTAGACGTCAACGCTCACTCTCAGCTAATGTCCTCATTTTGATTCACACTGTTTACAGGATTGAACTTGGACAAGATTTTTTCTTTTTAATTCAATAATTTCATCTCGGCCTTTTTAAGTTTAAGACCCTCCCAAAGCCCATCAAGTTAAGCAAGAAGACTTTTCTTTTCCGTGAAACGGGTTTTCCTGCAAAATTACCAAATATCAAACCAGAGATAGTGCATTTCAGAGATACCGCACTATCAGTTGAAGCTATGTAATCGGGATAGGCAGAAGTTGAGTTCGGCGGTCAACGCTTCAATCCGCCAAATGATGATTGATGAGCAACTTGTTCGGCAAAAAACTACCAAATAGGCAGGCGAATTTTTGCGGGTGGACTTAGCTGACTTTATCGACCAGATTGGCAGGGTCGCAAACCGTAGGAGTAAAAAGCTCTGCCGGAGTGAAGAACTAAACTCAGTTGCTCAATGAATTTCGGCCAAAATACCCCTCAATCCACTTTTTGACCCACCTCGGTAGGTGGTTCGAGAATTATTCGAATTTTCTACTAGCATTAAAACCAAATGTTATAGGTGCACCGTAGTATACAACACTTTGTGTCCCTATATGTAGAACTCTTATTCGTCTTTAGCTGGCTGTGGGCTGTGAGGTCTTCAACTGGAGTATAGGCCATAAAACCTGAAGAAGAAGAAAGCGAAGAAGAAGACGAAGAAGAAGACGAAGAAGAAGACGAAGAAGAAGAAGATGAAGAAGAAGAAAATGATGAAGAAGAATAAGACGAAGAAGAAGAAGTTGAAGACAAAGAGGAAGAGGAAGAAGAAGAAGAAGAAGAAGAAGAAGAAGAAGAAGAAGTAGAGAATGAAGACGAAGAAGAGGAGTATGAAGAAGAAGAGGAAGAAGAAGAAGAAGAGAAAGAAGAAGAAGAGTAAGACAAAGAAAAAGAGGAAGAGAAAGACGAAGAAGAACAGGAAGAAGAAGAGGAAGATGAGGAAGAGGAAGCAGAAGAAGAAGAAGAAGAAGAAGAAGTAGAGAATGAAGACGAAGAAGAGGAGTATGAAGAAGAAGAAGAGGAAGAAGAGGAAGAAGAGAAAGAAGAAGAAGAGTAAGACAAAGAAAAACAGGAAGAAGAAGAGGAAGATGAGGAAGAGGAAGCAGAAGAAGAAGAAGAAGAAGAAGACGACGACGAAGACGAAGAAAAAGAGGAAGAACAAGAACGAGAAAAAGAGGGAGAAGTTGAAGAGGTAGAGGAAGAAGAAGAAGAAAAAGAGGAAGAGGAAGAAGAACTTGGATTTCTATGTTTACATGCAAGTGGAGCCATCGAGTATCGACATACATAATAGAGTATTGCTAGAATGGCGTGGCAATATCAAGTGAGTCTGTACTGTTATCAGCGGGGAGCCCACCGGGTTTGAGGGGACGTCGGACGTCGCTCGCCGATCGGGCATGTGAAGGACGTTGAGCGGGGGTTGCGGGGGGTGTGGGGGATACGGCGAGGGCCGGTCGAGGAGGGTGCGGCGTGGCGCGGCGCGCGCGCGGCTCACGATGGGATGATCGGCGACCTTGGAAGTCACTGACCCGACGGCCGACCGCACCACTTCCCGCAGCGTTGCCAACTCCATCCTTCCATCACTCCAGATTACTGCCACCTCGATTCTTTCAGTGCAGACCATCGAATTACATCTTTCAAATGGCTACCAGATCGAGAACCAGCTAAACGCGCAAGGAGCAGTTAATAAGGACGGGAAGAGGGTAGGGAGTCAAGAATACCTAACTTCAGTCTTCATTTTTGCTACGTCTTGCCCCTTGGGCCAAGCGGTAACAAACGCCAGATTTCTTCATCTCTTTCTAACAATTTATTTCCATTTGAAAACACAAGAGATGACATCATCTGACGAGATGATTTACCATGGTCGGTGTCATGGTTCCTCCTTCAATTCTCCGTTGGTTTCGTCAAAGATGTAACTGGAGCAACTGATAAAAATGCCTGCATCGCTGATTTATGGAACCAAGGTGGAAAGATGCACTATCGTAGATGCATCAAAGTATGCACCATCGCATCCAATGTCATTAATCACCGTTGTCCTCCAAAATAGGGCCCAAAAAAGCAGCCAACCTTCAAACTATCCAGAGTGATTTATAATTACGATTGTTACGACCCGTTGCTCGTAAAGCACTATTTATCTTTTGCATGAAGTCACTCATTTTTGTGGAAGAACGCTCATTCATGAACATTTTAGGCCATCTTGGTTTAATATTGGAATCTGAAGATTGGCAATGACATTTTTTTGTGTTAAAAGGTCAGCTGCTCTTTGGGGCTCTGAGAGCTCCATATTTAGACATGTCTATACTCTTCCTATGTGGGTACTCTATTTTGAATTAGAGAGTTCCTTTAGAGAAGATCCGTGGCACCATCGTGGTTCTCAAGAAATCTCACATTGGGCAAAGCACGAAAATCGCCAATCATTTCGGCTCCATTGTGTGATAAAAATTGCCTACTTTAAATTGCGTTGAGCTGAAGAAATTGCCCCCGTTCAGAGTGAGGGGTCAGTTGCGCTGGTCACAGAATCGTGTTTCGATGCTTGATTCTTGTATACATTAGCTAAACATACTTCGATCCGTCTAAACAGCTACTTTCTACTACTACTACTACTACTAGTGATAAGTCGCTCTTATTGCGCTTCTGTGCGCTTTTCGACATCTAACCGCCACTGACAGCGATCTTGCCAGAGCTCCTCCAGTAGATCGCCTCTCCTCATTTCCTGCCTTATTTCCTCAATCCACGACTTGGCAGGGCGTCCTCTACGTTTTCTACCAGGAGGGACCCAGCAACTTCCTACGTTCAATATCAACCGAGACATTGCGCTTTGAAAAATTCGGTTTATGACGTCGTCCACCGTGGTAGTCCTCCCTTGGTTTCTTCCACTTTATTCTTATCAATTAGGGAAACACTCATTTTTACTGGTTTCTCAACTTGAAACTCGGATGAAAGGAAGGCGGAAGAAACCAAGGCAAGGGTGTCGTTACCGGAGTAGATGACGTCATAAAACCGAATTTTTCAAAGCGCGATACCTCGGTCAATACTGAGCGTAGGAAGTTACTGTTCGGGCAGATCTTAATATTTTTAGCTAATCGTCAAGAGTTAACCATCAAAACACGATTCTGAGACTAGCGCAACTGACCCGTTCAAGAACTATGCACCCATCCCATAGGAACTCCCTGGAAGCTACTTTTCTCGGTGCATGAAGGAGAAGAACGGGTGAGTTTTGGGGAGCGTGGTTGGAAGGAAATCTGAGAGAGAGTGAGGGACGTGGCGCGGTAGCGCGGCGGCGCTGGAGGGCGTTGAATATTTTAAAAGTGAACTCAGCTCGGTGACCTAACTGGGAAGTTGGTGGAGAGAATATTCACAAGTTACAGTCATCGGCTTGATGAATACCGTTCCGTTACTTATCCGCGCACGTTTGACCGCGTCCCGCCTTCCTTTGGCGTCGCCGCACACTGGGTCGAGTCAATCAGAGAGGTCGGACATGAAATTTTCGACAGTTTTTTATGTTTATTTTGTCTGATTTTAAATTATAAGGGGTGTTAATCGAAGAAAATTTCACGAGGGAACCAGTGAAAACACTTTTAGAACCTCAAAATTTTGTATAAATAGAGTTGTTAGCTTTTAAAGTTTCCAAATTTTGTCCGATCTCTCCTATTAACTCGATCCATTGTGCGGCGTCGGGTCCCCACCGCCCGTTAACTATACACACGAAACCTCGCCCGGAGGAACAACCGACGTGCCACGAACTTTGGATGAGACTTACGTCTTTCTTACGCGGCGGGCGCCATACGCGACACCGACCCGACAACATTCGCACCTTGGCCGATCCCTGCCCTCTATTCTCGCTTCCAGTGGCGATTTTCCAAATTGGCAACACTGTGTTTCTTTCATTCAAATCCGTTGAAAATATCGATTTTAGGCGAGGCGAGCTTCCTCACGAAGAATCGATTGTTTCAAGTACGTTTGAATGGAGGAAACAGTGCTGCCAATTGTCTAGAATTGCCACTGACTCTCGCCGCGAGTCGCAGACTTCTGCCCCTCGGGAAAATTTCGCCGCTGGAAACTGCCCGGTAGGAAAAGTATAGGAGTGGACCAATATTCGGTTTCCGTATCAATCAATAGTTTTTTGTATGAAACTTATTTTTTTTTTTTTTAAAAAAAAAGTGAAAAAATAAAAAAAGAGAAAAAAATAGTTTTAGTACATATTGTACGAATCGATGACGAGTCAAACAATGTAAATACCCATTGCAAACACCCTCTAAGAGCTAAAATAATACATGCAGATCGTTGCCTCGTTTTTTCGTTCAAATAAATAAAAAGAACATGTTAGGAAATTGGGCAAAATTAGAATCAGATGGTCTAAAATTGTTAATGCCGGCCACTTAGCCTGCAGTTCCAGAGGAAAACTTCAGAGACTTAAACGCAAGGATAGAAAAATAAGCGGCTCGTGGTGGAATAGATGGCTTGTTTACAATTGAATCTGGGAATTATGGAATAAATCGTAATAGACCACACCAGAAGTTTTGTTAGATTATTGCATATCATACATATTTATGGCTGAAGTTGAGAGACGTTTGTACCTTACGCTAGCTACTGCAGTGATAAAAATGTCCGATCATGTTTTTATTATTTTTGGCGAGAAAGCTAACCAGAACTTCTTCTTGAGGCTCTCTGCGTATTATGAAATGAATGAGGAAAATTCTCCCTTGTTTCAAGATAAACTCTAGGTTTGTTTTTCTTTAAAGAAAAAGATATAATGAAAAAAAGCAGAGACTTGCCCTGAAACCCCGTGTGGAGCAGATCCTTTAGTTAAAAGTAAATGGTTGTGGCTGAAATTTTTCGTGTTTAAATTAATTCGATTAATTAATTGAGTATATTTTCTTCATTTTTCAGGTCTACTTGATACGATCACGAGCACAGCTGACAGCAAAGACTGCCCAGGTGTGTGCGTACACACCATTGCGACACTGATTTGTTACGAAGTTCTAGAAGATGTCGCTTGTCCGAACCCTTCAATGAGGTGTTGTGTGGACCCTCCAGCCAATGGCTCTTCGACCGTGGCGCCCTCTAGCACCGTCAGCTCGAGTTATCAACCGCAACAGAACAACAACCAACAGCATCAGCACAACAGCCAACAGCATCAGCACAACAACCAGCAGCATCAGCACAACAACCAACAGCATCAGCACAACAACCAACACAGTCAGTCACCACAAACGCAGCAAACTAACCAGTATCAGTCACAGAACAATCAGTATCAGCAACAAAACAATCTATACCAACAACAGAATAATCAGTATCAGCAACAGAATAACCAGTATCAGCAACAGAACAATCAGTACATGCAACAGAACAACCAGTATCAGTCACAAACCAGTTCTTACCAACAACAAACTACGAGGCCAGCAACACCAACTACCAGCGCGGTTACTGCAGCTTCAAATAAAATTTCTCTGGTAAGTCCTGTGGTTTAATACATGATTGTAGAAATGCCCATTCTCAAATTAAATTATAGAGAGCCTCGTTCAAAATTAACGCATTCTCTCTTATAGCTTGTTTCTGGCTCACCAAAGACATTGGGATAAAAAAACCCACGTTGATAATTTTTTTCCGAGTCAGCGCTACAGCTTATTCATACTTGACTAGGTACATTTTTTGCAAAGGAAACAATTGTGATAAGATGACAAATCAGTATGATTGAGGGGGGGGGGNGGTGAATCTCTATCTTTTTGCAAATTTACTAATCCTTGATAACCTTATTACTAGACACTTTTGCCGTAAAAATGAGTGCTTGACGTGATTTTATGGTGGGAGTTTGTATTTAAAAGTGATTATACGGTTTAAACTCGACAGACTTTTATTGAAATGTTCATTAAGCTGAATTATGATGCGAACTGACAGACGGACTAAAAAAAAGAAATTAGCTGTTAAAAAGTACCGAGTACACGGAGGAACAAGGAATCACAGATGGAAAATAAAAAGAGTATCGCTTTATTTAAGTTTATCAGTATTTGCTGAATGAAAGCATTTTTATAGGATGCGTGAAGTTTTTCTATAAATTTGATTTTCCCCTAAAGTTCCCTCCTTTAGTGTAACTCAGACCAGTTGAATTTTTTAAGTGCAGTTCGTGTATTACTATACACTTGCTAATATTGTTTTTACTTGATGTGTTCCAGTTTTCACCAGAATCCACGCAAACGACATCAAGCTCATCGACGGATAAAAATAATAACTGTAAGTATATTTTAAGACCAATCATGGTCTATCGTAATTGGAAATAGACTTATACAAGCTTAAAGTAATTACACCTTCGTTCTTATGACCAGGCCAGATATGAACAAACCTTCACTGAAAAAAAAAAAAAATGTGCTCGGCTCAAGCATGATATGATTCTTGAATTTGCCGCCCAGAATTTTTTTTTATCTTTATTTAAGCTGAATGTTTCTTGATGCGAGAAAAAAAAAGTCTTGGGGAAAGCAAGGAGGTAGCTCATAGTAAGCAGTCAAATTCTCGATTCAAGAAAAAATAATTATTGGTGGAAAATTTAAAATTATTTTTTCCCAATTATTGTAGTCAGACTATCGCAAAAGCACGTACCTTTACTTTTAATACCCTTGCCTATATAAGAATAGCAGCGCCATCCATTTTTTCTTCACGCAATACGAACATTGATAGAGCAGGGATCTTTGCAGCCAGGCTTTTCTATTCCGAGAGCCGGCCTTCATTCTTTTAGATATGCAACCCGGACATTGGTAAAGTATAGAAATTGTTCTACACAGTCGAGACGTCATTCACCGTAGCACTGACGTATCATCGTTTCGTCTTTCTTGGATTTAACAATCAATGATGCATTAGCGTTAGTTCCGCGTTAGTAGACGACATTTAAGGTGAATGACGTCGAACACCGCGTTATTTCAAATGGTGATCCTTTTTTAAACAATTACGCAACTACTTTGGAAAGACCTTAGTATTCTTCGTTATTCTACCTATAATTTTTATTCGGGGTGGGACTTATTGGAGAGAGCTGCGGACTCATTGTTGAAATAGATAGACAAAGCTATGGACAAAGAAGACATAGGGAGTATGAAGCGATCCTATTGGTGGAAATAGTTGGTTTCTATCGACTCAGGGAGAAAATGATAGACTAATATAGGGTCTCTCGTGGGTTCCCCTCAGTGAATTATCTATACCTTCTCCATCCATTAAAACCACCCGCTTCAACCAGCAGGATTCCGCTATACCTATCTCTTTTTCTTCTTCGTTTATAGCTTGTCCATCAATTTCAACAATCAGCCCGCAGGAAGGGTAAGTTATCCGTTGTATTTTAATGTGACTTGTCTTGTCGGAAATTATTGTCCATTTTTATCAGTATTGGGGCGTCTCTTGTTATTTTTAGAAGTTTAGTCCCATTGCCTCCTTTCGGGGGCTCATACCCATTCGGCTTGGTTAAGTGTGATGCATAATGGTTGATCCATGGATGTTTTCTGTTGCAGCGACCAAAGTGTGCGCAGGCGTGTGCGTGGCCGAGCGCATCGCCGACTACTGCGAGGCGGTGGTGGGGGTGGAGGGGCTCTGCAGGCCAGGGCTCCGATGCTGCGTGTCCAAAGACTCCTACGGGGGCAGCGAACCACCCCCGCACCTCATCCTCATGAACCGCAACTCCAGCTCCGGCCCCGCCCCCGGCTCCAACCAGACCACGCCCCCGAGCCCGGTCACCATTTCCCGCCCCATCCCCTCCCACCGCCCTTGCAAGGGCGAGTGCGTCTCCGGACTCTTCGCCCTCTTCTGCGACGACATCGATCCCTCCGCCCACTGCCCCGGCGACGACTCCTGCTGCATCACGACCCCGCCTCCACCCTCACCTCCCTCCCACCAAAACTCCTCCCACTCCACCGGTGGCTCCTCCTACACCACGCCCCCCTCGACCACGCCCGCCCTCAAGCAACCCCAGAACAACAACAACAGCAATAACAACGATAAGAACAACGCGTCTCTCCCGCCGTGTCCCGGCTACTGTCTGCTCAACCTGATGGCGGCCTTCTGCGAGAGGCCCGCGGTGCTCATCGCCAACACCTCGACGTGCAAGCGCGGCTCCATGTGCTGCGACCACACGCGGCAGCGGCCTCAGACGAGTCGGCCCAAGCCCCGCCCCACGACCCAGCAGACGACGACGACGTCGACGACCCAGGCCACGACCACCGTGTCGCTCCCGCCTGACCCCCGCCCCGAATGTCCGGGCTCTTGTATTGTTCCTTACTTGTCTTTCACTTGTTTCAGTAAGTCATCCCTACTATTTTCGGAACTTTTGCTCATCATAAAAGAATCGTATTCGACGTCATGACCAGACAGCTGGTCTCGTATGATCATGTCAATAGAATGACTGCTGAACGGCTGCCGAAGAAGACGCTTGATTGGGTTCCTCCTGGGAGGAAACGAAGGGGACGGAATGCCCAATGAAAGGGTGGCGATGGGGAGTTTTAGAAGAAATGAGGGTGTGCCAGCTCCCTGAAGCGCTTTGGGAGGATAGGAGACTTTGGCGGCTAGGTGTCGCAGAGCGCCAGAGGGCGCTATAAAAGCGGCTTTATACATAAAAAACAATTTCTTCCAGCTCTAGCTCTAGCTTAGCAAGGACGTTGAGCAAAGCTTTCAGTTTTACTGAAATGTAATACGCGCATCCACCAAGCAAGAATATAGTTGCATCCAGGCGTTGTGAATATCTGATAACATAAGGATGATTGCGCTTTTAAGTGTCGATTAAAAGTATAAAACGGGCGAGGTGACTTATGTGCACCAAATTAGATTTTCGTCATGCTCTTTGAGATGAAAAGTTAAAAATACTGAAATTTTAAGCGCAAATGGCAAGATAATGACTTAATTTTAAAAATTTTCCATACACTTTCGTATTTTTCCGCAATTATACTGGACGGAGGAAGTTTCTCGTTCTAGCAAACGGATTTAAAGGCTACACCGAAAAAAAGAAGGATGCTAACTTAACATTCTAGGTGTAAAGAAGGTGCGACAACTCGCAAACAGCAGTTACTATATAGTAATGTCAAGATGTAAAACTAACTACCATGGTGGTTAACTCAGCATTTTGTTAGTTGCCGCGCGCACATTTTTTTACACCCAGAATGTTAAGTCAGCATCCTTTTTTTTCGGTGTGCATATACGATCCGAAAATGTTTGGTATTTATGCGGGCATTTTTAAACCATTCTCGATACTAGTTATAAATCATTGTTATTTGTTTCCACAGGAAATGCTGAAATGACAGACGTTTTCAAATGTCGGAAGACAGGCACTCAGTGCTGCGCACCCAAGTCTCTCATCCGCGATGTCTTGGACTCCAAATCACCTCAAGGCTCCTCAAGTCTCTCTAATAATCGCAATGATACATATCCAGTTCCTTTCAAACCTCACTACTCACCTCAACTATCGACCAATCAAATAGGTAAGACGTGATGTCAAAATGTTTTTCTCATGAGTGATCGCTGTACATGCGGAAGGGCTATCTTTATCAACGGGGAAAAGCTAAAATTTGACGTAAATTGATCAATAATTGATCAGAATGCTTCAGAATCAATTTTGTATATTTAGCATGCGTCAAATAAAATGAAAATTCAAATCGTCTGGTTTTACTTTCTGGCCCCTGAGAGGTTTCAAAATGCCTACCTCATTCGGGTAAAGTTACTGAGATTAGTTTCTTTTACGGATGAACCAGAAATATACAGGGTGTTCCAAAAGTCCCGCTCCCCCTCTAACTTTTGAGAGGTTAGAGGTAGAAAAATTAAACTTTGGGAATGTTCTATCTCATAGAGGACCATCTTCTAGGGGCGTCAACATTTTTGCCCCTCCCTCAGGGGGGGGGGAGGGCCTACTTTTTCTCTCTCAAACGGTAACCCCTTTCTTGTGATGCATCATTGGAAAGAACAATGAAAACTAAGAATTTTCACAAACTGCAGATCAATATCTAAATTTTTGACCGAGTTATGATAGGGCAAAGGCCAAATTTGACCTATTTTTAAAAAATCATAACTCCGGTTCAAATTATCGTACAGAAAAAATAAAACGGGGAAATTTACCAAATTGTAAGCGCTTTTAAGTAAAAATCGCAGAAATCACTTCAAACTAATTGTAAGGTGGGGTCCGGACACCCAAATACGACAGTTCAAAGGTCATACGATTTTCCCACAAAATAACCCAACCTCCCCTAACTCTGCCTCAACACTATCTCAGTAAGTTCAAAATTAGTTCCCGGTTGTGACACTGTGAGGGCCTAAATTAAGGTCCCAATCAGAAATGGATTCGCATTTTCTTTACTCTCAGTACAAAGGGCGTCTAACCGCGGGTATTTTGTCTTTCGGCTGGATATTCTAGATGTGCAAAATGATGTTATGAAATAATTGTGGATTCGCATTTTCTTTACTCTCAGTACAAAGGGCGTCTAACCGCGGGTATTTTGTCTTTCAGTTGGATATTCTAGACGTGCGGAATGATGTTATGTAATAATTTTGATTTGAATTTTCAGTTCACACGACGACGATGAGCGTGGCGAGTTCGACGCGGCCTCCAGTGTACAGCAAGTACGTCTGCGGCGTGAAAGGGACGGCCCGAGGAGCCGGGTCGGGCGCCCCCGCGCGGACGGCGCGCGTCGTCGGCGGCGAAGACGCGGACCCGGCCGAGTGGTGCTGGCAAGTGGCCCTCATCAACTCCCTCAACCAGTACCTCTGCGGAGGAGCCCTCATCGGAACTCAGTGGGTCCTCACCGCCGCACATTGCGTCACCAAGTACGTATCTCCTATCCCACATTCTAATACCTGTAATTTCGTCCTGTCCCAGCTTGTCATGAGTGGGCATTCAAAACACCCTCGAGTCCCTTTTTAGAGAGAGTCAAGACATGTTGAATTCTTTTCTGACTGCGGGTTGATTGTTGAAATTGGTAGACGAAGCTATGGACAAAGATGACAAAAAGGATATGGAGGGAAAAAAGAGTGCAGTGATGACTGTTTCAAGTGTTGCACCCTCACAATCGTCCATAAGGAATTGTTGAATCCCCGAAATCTTCCACCTGTCGCCAAGAGGCCAGTGGAGGGTCTCTAGTCTCTGGAACTATACCATGGCCCAGCCATGGTAACCTCCATTTTCCTCAGTTCTGGTCATAAACTCTGGAAGAATCATTCCTGCCCTAGTCTCGACGCGCGTTCCCATTTTCCCGCAAAAAATCACCTGGGTCAATTTCAACTCAAAGTCCAGCATTTGAAAGAGGGGACCTAGTACGATGAAAGCGAGGATGAGCGTGATCTTGGGGAGCGAATTCAGCGAGCGATTTGACAGCCGTGGTCGAGCGGCGCGCGGCGGCGGTTGGCGGACTTCTCACTTCTGGGCCGTTTACCGTTAGCCACCTTCCACATCCACATCCACATCCACATGCAAGTTCCTCATCCGATTCTGCTCGCCGTCTTGACGCGACGCCCCACGCCCGATGCGACATTACGCGCAAGCGACCCCGACCCTGATTCCTCTTCCTCCTCCTCATCCTCCTCATCCTCCTCCTCCTCCTCTTCTTCCTCCTCCTCCTCCTCCTCCT